GCAGCAGCAGCAGCAGCAGCAGCTGCTGCTGCTGCTGCTGCTGCAGCAACTGCAGCAAGTTTAGTATTGTGCCAACAGCAGCAGCAGCAGCAGAAAATGCAGCAGCAGTAGCAACAGCTGCAATAGGAGCAGCAGCAGCAACTGCAGCAGTGACAGCAGCAGCAACCGCAGCAGCAGCAGCAGCAGCAGTAGCAGCAGCAGCAGCAACAACAGCAGCAGCAAAATATATTATAAGCAGCAACAGCTGCAGCACCACCAAACAGACAACAAAAAAAACAGCAGCACCAACAAAAACAGAAACAAAAAAAACAAAAAAAAAAACAACCCTCTTATCCATATCTATCTTCTCTAACTCCCACTTCTAGGGTTTAGGGTTTACTAGGGTTTAGGGTTTAGGGTTTAGGGTTTACTAGTATTCCTTTGCACTCCTCCTCAATCTCAATGAGCCTGAGACCAATACCCCCTCTATCCTTTTAAAGCAACCTAACTAGGGTTTAGTGTTTCCTAGGGTTTAGGGTTTTCTAGGGTTTAGGGTTTTCTAGGGTTTAGGGTTTTCTAGGGTTTAGGGTTTACCTGTATTCGTTTGCACTCTTCTTGGAACTCAACAAGCCTGAGATCGATGCCTCTCTTCAGCAGCAGCAAATCCTCACTAAGCGGCAGCAGAGCTCTCCCGCTGCTGTCTATATAAGGAGAAAGCAAAACCCTCAGGTTTTCTTGGTCTGCCTGTATACAACACAAACCCTAAACCCTAAACCCTAAACCCTAAACCCTTGGGAACACTTCTATCCCCCGCGGTTGATTAAATACAGTAATTAAAAAAAAAAAATAAGCGCAAAGGAATGTTATAGGCTACGATTTATAGGATTTAGGGTTTACTAGGGTTTACTAGGGTTTAGGGTTTAGGGTTTAGGGTTTAGGGTTTACGAGGAGAGTCGCGTGGGCAGCGTTGAGCTCAACAAGTTGCTGCTGATACTGCAAGCAGAGAAACACAAAAACAAAACAAAAACAAAATAAAAATAAAACACAAACAAACAAATAAATAAATAAATAAACACATAAATAAACAAATAAATAAATAAATAAATAAAAATAACGACCACCTAGCCGCAGACAACAACCAAAAAGCAAAAACAAACCAACCCAAAAGCTAAACCCTAAACCCTAAACCCTAAACCCTAAACCCTCAAAAACTTAAACAAACGCCAACACCTCACCAAATCCATCAGCGCAGACACCCGAACATTAACAGCTTCCAACTGGGTATTGGGGGGGGCCCCCTGAGGGTACCC